CGTGAATATTTAGATTTCCTCGATTTAATTTAACCTGAAAAAAGAAATACATGTATACACTCTCCTATATATTGAACAAAAATTGATGTATATTTAGAAAATTGCAAATTGCGTAAAATGAAATATAAATGGAAGTAATAGTGTTATAAATAACAATGGAAAATGTAGGAAAAGTGTAGTATAGAAAAAGTGAGTTTAAAACTGAATTTTGAATTATGCTACCTCCTATATAGCTGTCTCATTATGCCTGATATTTTATAAATTTCTGAGACTGCATTATAATGCGGTTATAATTGTCAGACGTAGAATGTAGAATCTCGGAAATTTTTAGAATAAATCTAGAACGATTCTCGCAATATCAATAAATCACTGAAATGCCGTCTCTCAGCTGATCGAATATACCTTTGTCGCGGTTTCGAACATAAACTGCCGATAATTTTATACCAAATATACATCAATGGTCGGTAAAGTCGCTAGTAACATTATCGACCGACTTATTAGTGACTTTATCGACGGTAAACCAATTGTCTTTCTCGTTCTCGCCTCGCTCAAATGACGAAACAAATGGCGTCGCGCGAGTTCAAAACACGTTTTACGAGCGAAGCTTTTCGACGAAATAAACTTCATTAGTGAAAGGTAACGTATACGCGCCCTTAAATTCCTTCCTCGGATTTAGTTGATATTAGAATTCGCGGCAGGAGGAAAGAGAAATTCGCGATTTCATTCAAAATCAGCTCTGATTCATGTGCCATATATATCACCGCTCCCGATCGTGGGCGTCCATGCGTCCATGCGCGCATTACGTTTACATCAGCTGATCGCGTGATACGCGTGCAATCGTCCGATTCTCATTCACGGTAGCTGAATCGCGAGCGAGGGAATCCTATTCGAGCATTCGTAGAGAGGTGAGTTACCGTTATCACATTTGGATCGCGTTTACAACCGCGTTACACGAGAGGTTATGTTGATAGTGACTTTACGTAGCCCGAAGTCCGGAAATGCTCTCTCGCGTGTCACGTGACTCGATTGTATTTCCAATCTCATCTGATGCGCACGGTAACACGAGTTACGTGCTAATAACAGTTTGGTTGGAAAAGGTTCATTGTATTATGAGAGAAATTACAGAAATTACGTTTGACTAACTTTCTCCTTTCGAGGAAGACATGGGGCGGTATTCGAGTCGGATTTTATTTCGAGACCGCCTTCTCAAGTTGCTGATACGGTCATTTGATTGGCTGGACGGAGTCTTAAGTCCTAAGAGTCCGGACTGCTTTTGACCAGACTTAAAGATGATCTTCGATATAAGATCCGACTATGAATACCGCCCATGGATTCGGACGTAATCACCATGATTTACCGAAATTTGTGAACGGTATTCTCCCTCAGTCAGAAAATATTGATAGCATATTTTAATACATTAATTGTGTATATATTTGTTATAATTGATTATAATTTTACTAATTAATTACGTATCTATTCAATATACTTACATATTCAGTATACGTCTATACTATAATAAAATTCATTACCTAAAATAAAATAATGAAATAATAATAAGATTAACTAGTTATTATCGGAGTAAGTAAGAGATTTTTGAAGAAGTTAGTTTAAAAATTTTGAAGACTGAAGCATGTATATTTGTCATTAGACTTAACACTTAACCACGTCTATTGATCCTACTTACATACATAAATATCTACACCGAAAAAAAATGACGTTTTAACACAGATATTGTATTATTAACATTAGTCTCTAATTGCATATGATCTTGTTAAGTTTCAACACGTTTTTAATGTTATTTTACGAACATGCATTTTCTATTAATGGAATTGCATCACAAGTGCTTTGATATGCTTGATACCTAATCATTTATGCTACGCGCAGCAGTAGCCATTTTTACGTTTAGTTGTTACAAGAAGGTAGTTGTCGCATTCGCATATATTCATGTTTTTTTTTTTAAATTAAGTATTATAAATTAATACCTAGTTAAGCTCCAAAAAAATAGAATTACAAATCAATACTGAGTTGAGTTGAAAAAATACTGGAAGCTTATTTTTCATAAACGTTATATATTGCAACAAATCAAGCAATGTGAATATTTGAAAAAAAATTCTATATTTTCCTGCGTTATATACGCTTTCTCGTCTCGCTCCGTTCTATCGCTTATTTCAGATAATCAAGTTTTTATTTATCTGCTTGTTCTTAAATTCATGACAACACACGGAAAATCTACTAAACCGCTAAATTTAACCTAAGCAGATCATAAAACAGGCAAATTATACAATTACGTTAATGAGAGATTTTTTATTTCATAACGTATTCATTTCAATCGATTTGCACTAATTGCACTTGATTATCCTTGTCATCTTATTAAGAACGATCGAACTCGTGTTTCCTTTTCATGTGCTATGAAGGAACATATATATCCGAAATTTTTTCAGTAGAAGCAATTACAAAGAAACATTAGTATCCATTTGTAAAATTGCCCTTTATAAACATACTTGTGCGTAATAGCTTTTTTTTGTCATGCCTACGTTGCAAAGTAACAACAAAGATAGTTATTTCTTACTATTCCTATGTATGCGTAACATGTTATTACTACGCATTCGTGGATCGCAAGAATTACGATTTCGTTACTGATAAAAACGCGAGGAAAAAGTTGTTTCGAATGGCACGCAAAAAGGTCGTTCTATATTAGTCGCAAGCAATCCATATTGTCGTAAGTCGCAAGAGGCTTGCAATTTGAGCTCTTACACTGCAGTCGTACCTAAGTCATAACCAATCAAAGAACAGATTTGTCGTAAAAATGTCGTTATCAATATGTCCTAAGCAAGCAGAATTGCTAATAGTATAAGTAAGTAGTATTGCTTTCTTCGCAAGCATCAGTATACCACATCCGGTTGTAACGTAGTCGCAAATAGCAATCACAAGGTTTGACCAAATCTAAAATTTGCGTCTCTGCGATATGTGACAGGCAATATGAGCATCGAGCTCCGTTGTCTATTTGACTTGCTCGTTCGTTTCGTGTTTTATTGTAACCCGTAAAGATATTGATAAATTAAAAAAATTTATTTTAATAGTAAGTGACTTGGAATGGAGAAAAGATGAATCTCTGGACGTGAACGTTCATGAAGATGATGGCAAAGACGTAAATTTTGGATTTGATCAAATCTTGTAATTGCTATATGGGACAGGAAGTGGTACTGCTTGCGTTCGTGCGTTGGGTACTTGCGACTAATGTAGAACGACTTTAACAGGCGCGTTATGTGCGTGTATATTTACCCAAACAAACGATTCCTGATCAACATTGCGCGATATTAGCGTAAAATCGACGTTTCATACGCGACGAAGCTAGTATATCTCGCATAAATCACAGATATAGCCAGATGTAGCCTTCCCGCCGCGGACGGTCGGGGCCGGTCCGCGATTTTAATGCACATTCGCAAATTGGCGCACAATGAGGACCGTTATAAAACGCCTAATGGCTTTCAATGGGATTAATTCACGGGCTCGCGCGGCACGGAACAGGCCGTCGCGATAGGTACGTCGGATCTCGTCCAGCATTTTCTAAGTAGAGTCCGAAGCTGGACAAGGCAGCGTCCTTGCGCGTACAATCGACGAAACGAAAATAGACTTCGATCGTGTACACGCGCCTCGTACTAAATTAATTTAATAATTTCGATCGATATTAACGATTTTACTATTAGAGAAACATTAACCTTAAATTTCTGAAACAACTTTATTTACGTAGTTTCCTGAAATGTCCATTTCTACCAATGCGGATTAACTTTAATTTTAGTTCAATTTACTTTTTATCTTTTTCTAATTTCTAATATTAGAAAAGGATAAAAAGTAAGTTAAATTGCGTATAAAGTTAATCGGCATTGGTAGAAATGGACATTAGTGGAGTTCGTAGCAAATATTGGATATAAGTGCTGTATTATTATTTTATGAGTGTTATCCCATGGATTTGGGGAACGTTACCTCTAAATTTATAGGGTAATATTGATAAAAATAATAATACATTTTTGCAAAATTTTAATAACAATTGTAAAATGTAAAGTACAAAAGCTTTTTATTATCGTTCATATTTAAAAATATTAGCAAATTAATATTTTAAATATTAGTTAAAAAAAGTAAATTGTTATAATTAAAAAGTAAAACTAATATTTTATCTTGTATTTATTATAACAAAAAGAAATAATGTTACAATTAGGAGAACATACATTTTTTAAATATTTCTGTGACTTTCATACACAAATTTATTGCATTTTATTTTCGCATAACGCGAGACGCCCACTTATCTAAATATAAGATAAATGTTATATAAATACACGCACTGGGAATATCTTCATACATAATCTCATTTTCTCACTGCCAGTCAGCTGACCAGCAGTAGAATTACCAATTCCTAATGTTAAAGAAATATTAATCAAAATTATACCAGTGGAGTGTCTACCCTATTTAGGAATACGATATTTTTGAGAAAGGACCTTCAGATAGATACACTTTTGTTATCCTGCTCTCTCTCTCTTTCTTTCTCTCTCTCTCTCTCTCTCTTTCTCTTTTAAATTCAGTAGAGACTTAGGTATAGTGGGACGTCATCTCAACGCTTTTGTATCTATACATTCTCGCGCATTCTCTTCGTTAATCGCAATAAACACGCGGTTGTTTAGTGGTGTATCATCGGGAACAGCGGCAATTAAAAGCACGCTTCTGTCGCAAGTACTGGTGTAACCCGATTGGTCGTGTCCGAGTAACGCGATTCTGCCGCGATTAAAAACATCGTCACCGTTCGGTTCCTCTTCGTCTCCTCTTTTATTCCTCGGGACCTCCGAGCGCGTCGTGGCGCAAAATAACGGCTCGAGAACTATAAAGTTCTCGATTCCATGATACCGGAAACCGGAACTCCGGGGGAATCGCGTAGAAACGCATTGTAGATCACGAGTGCATCATCGACCTTCTTCTCGGTTGTATGCCATCCCGTGAACGCGGTCGGATGCAGTCGCGGTCCGTCCGCTCTCCGGCACTCACGTCGAAACGAGTCGCAGATCGCCGCGTCGTCGGATGACGTGCATCTTTAAACACCGTTAATTGTCGATAAAAAGCTAATCGGACAAGTGACACCCCCGCACTGATCGCACGCTCGCGTAACGATTTATCCGCAATTCGAGTCGTTCCGAGGATTTCGTCAGGCTTCAGAAGGTTTAAGATCGACTTTAGGTGGTCCACATCTTCTTCATCTTCGAAGCTTACGATTTAAAAAAAAATTATGCACGATATATTACGGTCTCGTTAATTGTTTTTCGTGGAAATCTTTCTCCTCGTGGCAAATTTCACGATTGATTCCCCAATTGGAACGCAATCCAAATGTCTTCGTTGCAACGTTGCTATTCTACTCGCCTCGTCGATCTTGTTAATGATCGCTAGAGTTCATCGACAAACTTCCGCTATTGACGGTGCGCTTTCCATTCTGAATTTCCACGATCGCATCGCACGAGTGCGTGACGCTAATTCGAGCTTAATTTTCATTTAATTGTGTGTGTGTGTGTGTGTGGTTTTTTTTTATTAAACACGTGAAAGTCGTGGGTTTTCCTGGGGATCGTCTTTCAGACCGTCGAGAACCCAACGAACAGAGAAAGTCTCACGGGTCGAGGAGCACGTTTTAGCTTCTACAATTATCTCGGAACTGTTTCGAACGAGTGAAATATGAGAAATATGAGAGATGAAACATTGCGGTAAATATGTACGAATACACGAAATAAGATAGGAAATTTGTGAACGCGAATATAGAAAAATGAAAGATAGAGACAGAGGGCCCGAAAGAGAGTTAAATTGAACTCACAGTTTTAATTTAATAGATTTTTTAACAAACCCCAGAGTATAGAATAAAATCGTATTAGTGATCAGTAGATGATACGCGGTATCTAAGCGAGCAAAATCGAGTAGTCAAGTTCACCAATAAGACACTAAACGGGAAAAGCGAGAAAATATTATCCTGCAAGTTGCATTGCTTAGTAAAATTAAATTCCTGTTATAAGAACGATTCGTGTTAAGCGATTAAGAGAACCAAAAGACTTATGCATCTCTAATCAATAAATATAATCATAATGATGAAATAGACTTGCATCAATTTTTCGAGTATAACATAAGATCCTGGGTAGGGTAAAACAGGAAAATAGCGGTCACTTAAAGCAAAAATAAAAAACGAAGTATATCTTTATATTTATCGTTTATTATACGTACTTATAGAGGAACGACATTCGTGCCGAGTGTTACAATTAAAATCTAAAGTCATCTAAATAATCGTACGCGCATAAATAACGTTGCTCTTTTATCTATTGATCAGAATCCATTTGAATATGCGTCCGCATAATGCGTCCGCATTTCTCATTCCCAACTTCTAAGGATGACCGTATTGAGGCTGCTTCAATAAAACGCTGAGAAGTAATTCTTCACTTTTCTTCTGACCGCACGATGACAATTCTTGTTACTCGGTGACAATTTGCATTCAGGTTGCTCCTGAATAGAAGACGAATCAATTTTTCATGTATAAGTATTCATCTCTCAAAATTTATCATGTTTCTCACCTTCGCATATCGTCGCAGAAACTTTCAGCGTGATAAAGATCGTCCAATAAATTGTATAGAGTAAGAAGACACGTGTAACTTGAAAATATACATATCTTCTCACGCATATATATTCTTTTTAGAACGCTGCTAATTATAATCAACATCGTTGATAATCTTCATCTTTTGATCTTTTTGATTTTAGACTTGCTTAGGCGACAACCGTAGCTAATTGTCACAAAGAGTAACATAATTTAACATAATTTTTCTCAAGAATCACGCGAGCGTGCGAGTAAACGCTCTTTTATTCTATTTTTTTTTATCCTCGTGCTTCTTCAGAGGGATCGTCGATCGCGCTGCAATTTGCATCGGACCGGACGTTCTACAGCTGAAGTCGATCTGGCCGGCCTGCGTCCAGATCGACTGACGGGGAGAATCCGCTCTCCGCGATCCGGACCTTCGTGCAGCTCCCGCTCGGGCCCCTCCGTCTCGCGTGATCCAGAAGGTCATGCGCTAGCTCCGCTCCCCTTGACGGATGTACCTTGAAAAACGCATTCGAATGCACGCACGCATGCATGCAACAATACGGCCGGCCTACCGCACCATCATCCTCGCCGCGCAGCGGAGTCAGTGAGTCAGTGAACCGTCCTCCGGTGGCGGTGGCGGCGGAGCGGAGCGGGTTCGGTTTGGCTCGGTTCGCTCGGTGGTTACTTAACGTACTTGCGGTAGAAAGTCGACGATAGTCGACGACACCGGATCGACCGGGCTGGACTGGCGCGATCGTACTACGGTACCTAATCGCCCGGCCGTCAGGGAATTCGGGATCGGCGCGACCCTCCGCTCACTCGCTCGCGAGCGATCTGCGCAACTCCCCGATCGATGGATCTCACGGGCCGCACGATCGATGGTGCCGACGATCCCGCGACCCTGCTGATCATCGATCCGATCGTGGGAAACGATCATGGCATCGACGTGCAGCATCTGATCGATTGACAGACGTGTAGTGCGCATAGAACAGTTATTTTTTCCCTTTCTTTTTTTCGTTTTGCCCTTGCACCGGATCACTTTGCGTCGTAAACGAGGATGGACGGCCTCATCGAGATCTTCCTCTTCTGCGGAGTAATCTGCTATTTCTTTAATCTCAGGTAAATCAGTTTTATAAATAAGACTAATGATTCTTGTCAGTGATTTAGATGTTTTTTTAAAAGCGGATTGAAAAGCGATGATTTTATAAAACCTTCAAATCTTTTATAGAATTACCAGTATCTCACACGTTGCATTCTATAAAAGCGTTGGCGATTTTATAAAAGGAATCAAATCACCAAATACACAAATGAATGGAACATTATCATATTCATGCGCGATTTAATATATGAATGCGTTTGTCTGATTTCGAGTTTTTCTCGAAGAAAGTTAACACGAATCAAACAACTGTTTTCAGCGTTAAAATGTAGGCTATCGAGCCTCGGATTGTCAATGATGTAAATAGGTTTGTGGGGAAGAAGAGACACTGTGTCTAGTTTCGTCGCCAATTTTATGCTCATTTTATTGATGAAGATATATCTTCGCGCTTGAACGCTAAATGACTCAATAGAAAACAGAAACTTCTTATGTTTTATACTTTCTAATTATCACAGAATTTATAGTACCCTCTTATATATGATATTTTTATATATATACAACCGTTCTGAAATGTAATAATTAGTTTAGTATTAAAGTCATGCAGTTCCGACGCGACGTGACAAAGAATTTCACTTTCCTTCGCTTTGCGGTCGTCTTTCATTGACTCTTGAATAAAAACAGAGAAACGGAGTTGCGTTTGCAACATCAAACTACACTTCTTTCTGTCTGCGATTTAATTTAAAACTTTTTAATTTTTATTATTACGTCGAGCAACTACCATTTCTCTCGGTTAGAACTCCATTATGTATATAGGTACAATTAAAGGAACATTGGAAGAATAGATCTGGTACGCGCTATATTATCTATATTTTTTCCTTCGTTTACGCAAGACAATTTTTTCATGTGGTAAAATAATTTTGATTGATTCCCTGATTAATGATAAATCACGCAAGACAACATCTACTTAATCCACTTTAAATCTGATTGTTTTAGTCCAATGTTCAACAATATTTTAGTCCAATGTTCAATAATTTATCTTCCTTCTTTTGGAAACGTTCACGTGATAGGAAGGTTTATTTCATTATCGGAAATGACATATAAATATCTCATAATCGTTGACGAGAACGTCCTCATATGCTGATGCTAGATTGACTCGAAAGATTAGGCCAGATGGGCCAGATGTATCACGAAAAACATGTTATCTATTTCCTCTTAACGCTTACAGTATCTGACAAATACTTTTCGATAATCTCTTACTATTTTTTATTCACCATATTTTTATATTCGATATTTTTTATTTGTAGTAAAAATATTTTTGCTTCTGCATGAATAATATTAATGATTAACGAAATTAATCTTGGCATATGTAGCGTCTTTTTATAAAATAATTATAACAAACTTTTATAAAATATGTATTATTTTGTAGTCTCTCTTTTCAGTCAGACTAAAGAAACTTCATTCATTGCGTTCTGGTTTCTAACTCTGTTAATAACCCGCTTAAAGGTATAGTCTCTTAGAATAAACCCTCCTTGTGAAGAATCGCTCTAATTATTCGAATGCTAATCTGATTGTGAAATCTGATCGGAGAGCTATTGATGAGTGCGTGTGCACTTGCTGACGGCTACCGGAAGCTATGCTCGGAATTTCGATATATTTGCTGCTTGTTAGAGAAGTAGATTCCGTAATTCCGCGAAAACGCACGTTTGATTTGATTATCCACCTGGTGTTGCCGCTCACCCATTATGCTGAAACGCACGTGCATTGTGCACGATTTCGCCGCGACCTTGCTCTCCATTATTCGCCAGCCGCATCTTGTCGAGCATGATTCCTATGCTGATACATGCAAGGGCGACGGTAATTTTCCTTTCCCTTAGCGGCGCAGGCAACGTAATCACATATTTAACGTTTATGCCAAACCGGGGCCGACAAATATATTTTTGTTTCGAATAATTCACCTGAATTATCCAAAATAATAATTACGCTATTATTTAGATCTGAATCCAGTTTTATTCCAGTTACGTAACTTTTCCTTTTCTTGACGACAATTCGATTGTTGTTGCAATCTCTTGGGATTCATAAATTTTTTAATAAAAAAGATAAGTTGCATTTTAAAACTATTACCGCGAAAATCAAGCGATCCTTTATTTATCTAATTTCAGTAACAGTATTTTTAACTTTGCTATTGACGTACGCCAAACTCTCATTGTTTGTTGCGATTAATCGGTAATTTCCATTGTGATTGTATCATTTGATTAACCATTGAATTATGTAGGTCAGTGACGTAATGCGCGTGATTTAGATGCGCGTGATTTACATTTTGTTATGCAGGAGTTCCGATGTCGATAACCTGACCTGCCATGACGGAAATAAGTTCATAGATCTTCGTCGAGGAAACTATTGTAGTAAAACAGCAACGAGCGTTTAATGAGCGTGATCTACGCTCAAGATAAATGTCCCGCGATTTCAGAGTAAAAGCACAGTTTACACAACATTGTTTGTTAATATTTAGCACGCTCGTTTGATCTTTTGGTTACAAAGAACTGTTATGGTAGTTTACCGAAAATACGCGAAGAGGAAACTGAAGAGACGAGCCAGTTCATTAGCCTTTCAACATTCCTGACGTTTTGCAATTCTTTTTTAGTAAATAAGAATTATTTATATATATTATATATTTATACACAAGAAATTGTTATCTACTAAAAAATAGCTGTTCGTATTGGTATTCGTATTGCTTGTTCGTATTCATTGAATATTGATTATATTATACATTATATCATTTTCTCGAGCCATACCGGACGAACAATTTAAATAAATTTTGCTGGGAACGCATTGTGGACGTAATAACATACTATGACACATTTGCGTCTAATGCGTATTGCGAAATGTGTCTTATGAAATTTAAGTAATAATTTTCTTCTAAAATTTAAAAGGAAGCTAATTGTTCCATGACCGATCAGCTAATCTCTCAAGACATTTTTTAAAATAATAGACTAAAGGATAGTTTTTGAAGGGATATAATCGGAACCAGAATAAAAAGAATAATTTTTTGGACATTTTTAAGCTTTTTCTAATAAAGTTTTCTATAAAGTTCTTGGACGCTCCAAGAACTGAAGGATGCACAAGTGACTAATACTTTGTTCCCGTATTCTCACTTGTTTATCGTTTCCGTCCAACGTTCAAGAGCCATTAATGGTTTATTTTCCGAGGCGGCAATCTCCATCTTTTGAATTACGTATAATCGCGGCATCGTTCTCTTCCGCTCTCTTCGTTTCCCCCGAACTCCTTTTTTTCCCCTCGTGAACGCGCGTTACACGCGTGGCGTGATAGACTTATCAGCGTGGACTTTGACAATTATTGTTAACCGGGTCCAGATTCTTGGTTCTTGCTCTTACTCGTCTTATTTTTAGCAGCTGTAAACACGGCCGTCGTCCTCTGATGTATCATTGACGTGCGTCGGTTATCGGTCATCCGCATGATCATCAATATCGTGGTACAACATTCGTCTTTGTCGCGACATTTCAATATTACATTTGATATTGAAGAACTCCCCTATCGATACACTTTTTCCTATTCTCTGAAACCATTTGTCTCTTGCGAAAGTCTGTTGATTTACACTTTTCCCTCTGAGATAAATTAATTAATTGACTTACAATGTGAACGCCTTTTGACTTACGATCACTAAATTATATTTTTGGAAGTTGAAAACAAATAACTTCTGACCTGATTATGTCGGTAACGTTTTAGCTTTAAGGAAATTCTAATTAACCTCCGTGACATCTTATTATCTTTTTTTACATAAAAGGAACGTAGAAGGACTGTAATAACACATATTTCGCTTTGTAAAATGACCATCCTGTCTGCGGTACAGAGCCGCAGAGGCATAACCGGATCATTTTCTGCGGAGGCGATTTTTTTTTAATACTTCATTGCGCACCGCATATACGTATAATGTACATACACATAGACATTTCAGACAGATCAGCTGAGATCGCGCGGTGGCGAATGCAAGATGCACTCCTTTCTCACATAGAGAGCAACATCTAATCCCCGTTTATGTGTACACACATATATAACCGATATGCGATATTACATCCGTACGGAAAGGATCGTGTGACCGAAGATTCTATACGCGTATGATTGATTTTGCGTTTTTTTTTCTCTTGAAATTAAATCAACCGACTTTTTCACAAACAAACTCGTAGCAGAAACATGCGAGACCGGTTCACGATAAGTTTACATGTTATTGGCTTACATTTACTTGCTCGATTATGTGTACGGGCTCGATTAAAAACTTGTGTTTGCAGGTTCGAAGTGTATTAAAAAATAAGTTAGAAGAGAAAAATATCAAGTCTTTTTTATAACGTGTAGTACTTTACCTTTGCTTATTTACTCTAAAATGGACTCCGGCCCGGCTCCTTTGTTGCGTTTCACATTCGGATATAAATTAGAAACATAGGTTACAATTACTAAAAAACAGTTTCTTTCTTGATTTTTTTTCTTCCTTGAACAAATTGTTCTCCAAATAATTTAGAAGCTTATCTTAAAGCTATTTAAAAGCTACTTAAAACTGCTACTTAGAAAATTACTCAAAGCTCTAAAATCAAATTGTACTAACTACTATGCTGCTCTTTGTATTATCAATGACCCCCCGATAAGTAAATCTTAACTATTACTTCTCTTCGGTTATAGAAATAGAAAAGCGGAATTTGAACGTGCTTTCGGATTAAAACTTTCGTAAAAGATCGTAGACCTCAAGCTTCTTTTTTACCGCATGTAAAAGTTGTTTATTGACACTGCGCAATCGTCGCCGACCATTACGAATATGACACGAAAATGTTATATTTCGTCATACATCAACATATGAGAAGTTCTTCCATTTACACTTTGCAGCAGCTTGCTCTTCTTTTTCTTTTATCTTCCAGAATGTCATCAGAGAAGTCGCGATTAATACGCGCGATGCTTTACCACATATGTAACACGTGTGTCTCGGAGTTATCGAGGGATACTTTGTTTTTTTTTCCATCTCTTTAATCTAATCTAATGCTGCGAGAAGTCGTATTATAAATTAATCATAAACGGCACTGCACGATTAATTTGAAAGGTTGTTTGCTGAACAGGCAATTATTATATTACGTTCGCGCGCACATGCCGGCGTTATCACGCTTCCGTCACGGAGTATTCCGACATCGAAGGCGTTGAAAACAAAAGAAAAGTCAGGCTAGTTACAGCGTACTTTTCCCGGTTGCTATTATCGAAAGAGGAGAGGAAAGTGACAATTATCACATTATTGGACTGCCTTTCTTTCCGAGGCGAATGTCCAAAACACTCTTATTTTATAATAGGCATGTTTTTCCTCTTTCTTTTCGTAATACATGAAAAGAGCAATTGCACAAAGCGAAGGCTGAAACTGTGCTGTAATTTGACCGAGTTTGAATTTTGATGTGTAGTTATTATTATGTAGTTATTATTATTGTATACGAAATGTTCAAGACTAAATCTATATCCGTGCACAAATGTCATTCTGGACAAAAGACGCGAAATGTATAAAAGCGGAATATCTACGCGAGCAAAAAATAAAAGAATTATTAATGGATTGTAATAAAATTAATTAATAATCAGTTATTAAACTTGAGCATTCATTAAACTGCAAGAAAAGGAAGATTGTGATAACTGTGGTTGTTCATGTAAAATAAACCCAGTACCAGCATCCAGGATCAATTAGTATCGCCCGTATCGCGAAAAGAGGGCAAGGATAAGATCTGGTTCGACCTTGTCAAACGTACTCTTCGAAAGTGGATAATCGCTGACAAAGGACAAAGAAATTAAATGAGAAAAAATTGGACAATTATGTCACACGTCAATTATAACATTCGTGAATTAATATTACATTTTTAGCGTATTTTTCCTTGAGGCTTTTCTTGAGGAGGCACTCGCTGTATTTTCTCCCAGCCGAGTGTTTCTCTCGCGTAACCCTAGACTTACTACGCCATTGTCGGGATCGTACGAGCCTAATCGACGGTAACTCTTGGCAATCTTTCGCCTCTGAACCATCACTATGAAGTACAGTCCGTGGCGATTGCTGCGTACGATGCAATACGCCGAGAATCACGCGACGCCGCCGTATATGCAGAAAAAGTGAGAAAAAGCATTTGTTGCGTAGACTATTTTATATTTTTGCTTACCGCGCTTAAACGTGCGCTTAAATACTACGAAAGCTCAGATAACTCAGAAGAAATTGCAATCGCAGTTAAATCGTAAATACAAAGTGCTCTATATTGTGTTAGAAATGAACAAACGTTAAAGAGCATCGCGCTGTGGTTACGTAATTTACAAGTGGAAATTCATTGCGCGAGATGTATCGTTTCGTAATTAAAGCTGTCATCGATTAAGAACGCGTAACGGAATTATTTATCGATTTGTTTGTCGTCTATGAATGAATCGATCACATTTCACGTATGAACGATTTTTGCATGCAATTAAACGAGTTTAATGATTTCTCCTTTTGCATTTTGTAACTATCTGACAACTATCCGACACGTAGAGTGTATAATTAATTCGCACGAATATAGAAAACGGGCTAATTAAGAACCAGGTACCGGTAAATGACGCGCAAAAGTTTTATTTATATTTTTATTTTACATTTTTATCAACCCCTTTGACTGCGTGCCAACTAGATTTGTCAGACTTGAAACACAGCTCCGGTTGGAGTAGTAAAATCCCCCCCTACACCTAATTAAATCGATACAATTTAATTTTTGATGCTACATGCATCTAAATAACTGTAAAGAAATTATCGCGAAAAATATTACCTTAGAAGGTGTCGTCACCTTCACGGAATGAAGGAAGTTCCAGGTTCGAACCCTGGCTGAGTTAATATTTTTCACAATGATTTCTTTATAGTTATTTAGATGCATATAGCATTAAAAATTAAATTGAATCGATTTAATTAGGTATAGGGGGGGGGGGAGAATTTTACTACTCCAATCGGAGCTGTGTTTCAAGTCTGACAAATCTAGTCGGCACGCAGTCAAAGGGGTTGGTAAATATGTAAAATAAAAATATAAATAAAACTTTCGCGCATCATTTACCGCGCCTGATTCTTAGTTAGCCCGTTTTCTATATTCGTGCGGATTTCCATTGAAACCTATACTTCGAATTTAATTAATTAATTAATTATACGTATGATATCAATCGCAATATATTCCGAACTTCGAAAAGATTTATTTAAGTGTACATGTCGATGATCTTTCTTTAAGTTTTTTAACAACGAAACGTTTAAAAATAAATATTTAATTAGAATTTTTAAGCTGCCAAAAATTTTTGTTATTTGTTCACTCAAAGCGGAAATAAGATTATTAAATCATTATTGAAAAATGTTAGTCCCTTAAGCGGGAAATCGTTACTTGTTTTAAAATCCTTTAAAACTTTCCTAACTCTCGATGTGCTCTCGGCATGGAGAAACGAGTAGCATATTTTTCCTCCGACCTTTGAATCTGAGAAAGAGAAAGTACAAGAAGGGATAAGTATTGTTTACAATACTACAATCCATTTTGTTTAAAGTAAAGATTGAAGAGCTATTTTACATTCTGCTTTTGTAGTTGTGCAACAGCTTTTCTTCCTTTCTTGATTTTTCAAACGGATCGTTTAATGCGGCGGATGTGGGACGATTGTCGGAGTCCGTCGTGCGTGATCACGCTATCGCGAATCTCGGTTCGATCGACCGTATATCCACCTTTCATAAAACAATTCGCAATCTCGCATCTCGGCAGATCGCGCGTTTCTCTGCTCATTAATTTAATCGATAAATCGCTGCGTCGCGACGGAGCGTGTGCATCCGTTTTCATCAAACGCATAATAGCAGGGGTGTGTCGTGTTCGCCACGTGGAAATAATTGCGCCTTCATCATTCGTTGTATCTCGACGTTCATCTTCAACGAGCCTTTGTCTCTATTTTCTCTACGTTTCTCTAATTTTTTTTTCTTAATCAATTTTCTCAATTTTGTCTCTCGTCCAATTTCCGTTCAATCATACCAATAATAATCGTTCATCGTTCGTCGTATTTGAACGTTTATTATACGTTCTCTAAGAGTTTCTATTTTCCTTTTGCGTATATATCCCCTTTTGTCCCCTAAACAATTTCTTCTTTTTCCCTTCTCGTCCAATTTCTATTTGATTGTATTTTAATTGCAGACCCAATAAAATGGTAGACGTGTTGTCTACGCGTCTGCAGGAGGTGTACGCCAAGTGGGAAACCAGGACGGAAATGACGCGAAATGCGGAACCGACGACCACTCGATTTTCCCTGGACGGTAATTTTCTAATTTTCTTTTCTTTCGTTCCGAAGCTATTCTTACGTAAGAATGCGTGCCGCGGGAATATACAATTGTGATCAATCGATAGCTATCATCGACGCGCGAGTCTGATCATTCTTTCGCAGCGTGTTTCGAACGAGTATGGAACGCGCGTTTCCCGATTGCAACATAGGAGATATCCTTATTTAACGCAATGTTTCGAGTCATAAAACATTGTAACCATTGTTTCACAGACTTAAAACGTAATTATTATATACTCTCATTGTCAGTCTTTTTTTTCGAGTTAGCATCAAACAGAATTCTGCAGTCTACTTATTACTTATTCATATCAGTGACAGACTGTCTATCTTGGTTCTGGTCTATCAGCTTCACATCTTCAATTTAATCTGATAATCTTACGAGTCGTCGTTTTAATGCCTTTATTTTGAAATTGATATATCATATCTTATATTCTAGAAGCGAAACTTAAGACACCTGAAGTCCTCTTCGTTTTTTCATTTAGACGAGGAATCTCTTCGGAAATCCGTTCGCGACGAGATGCACTTTCGACTTATTAAACGCCATACAATTGCAGGTCTCCGACGAGCCGGGCAGCAGTTCCACCGAAGGAAGATCCAGGATCGGGAGCAGTCGCGCAAGGTACGCGAGAGCTCGTTGTACAGCATCAAGGAGACTGAACCACTGGCGCCCTTGATCAAACACAGGGCCTCGTTCCTACATTACTGCTGCAGAACCTGCACGCCCGCTTCCAGGGTGAGTTTTTGTTATCAAGTCCGCTGCGTCAGCGACCCGTTGTTTTCAGCGAGACGCGCGCGATGATCATCAGGCGGACCATGCCTCGCGTGTTCACCGTCGTCAATCTAATCCGTTGCACGTGGGCGCGTACGAAGCCCGTTGAATTGAAGCTGCCTAGCAGCCGGTTAACCCACTTAACTTACCGAACTTATCGTTAAATATCAGTGACCTCGTCGCTCCGACTTTGATTGCCATTTTCGGTCCATTGTTCGATAAAGTTGACGCAGGTGCGACGTGTACGGAGACTATCTTGAGCTATATCAATCATGATTTATAACGAAGTCGAAAAAACATCTATACATATATAATTTATAGATTTGTTTTGATTTATTTGATTTATTTATGTATATTATTTATTAGATTTATTTTTACGTCGTACTAAATAAATATTTTTAATTCCTTTTTTCCTAAAATTTTAGCATTTTACTGTCAGAAAAAACTTCTTTTTTTTATGGCGCTTAAAATATACAAGATTTATTATAACCTTATTTTAAATGGGAAGATTTGATGCTTAAATAAATGAAGGTATTTTATAGTTTGCTTTGAGGATCAATTAGACACATTACGTTTATTTAATTAAAATTCGGTCTAATCACTTGGTGTGCTAGGCTATCTTATATGCTGTTTAGAATCCAAAGTTAGGGTAATTAATCTATATACGCGAGAACCATTATACATTATATTTTGATTTACGAAAACGATACGCGTTACGATAGTCTCATCGTTGCAATAGCAAAGTTCACTTAAGAGAAATAGTCGCGAGCTCTGTAATCGGTGTTTCACATCGCGAGAAAGGTTCCTGTGTCGTCAAACAACACATAGGTCATTCACTAAAAATACATCTAATCGAGATCGCTCGGCTGGATGCTGCGTCTCTCACAATCAGTCTCTTAACCACGCGGAATTGTGGATTTCGCGGACAAATCTTCGCGCATCTTCCTTGGTTTTGTTTTCTTCAACATTCCGCGTTAATCGCTAGTCGCGCCTTGAGAAGTGGAGAGTGTCTGCGAGGCGTTTTGTTCGCACCTTCACACCTACGGTCGCGATCTATTTTCGGTATTGCGAGAGGGACTGCAACGGTGTGGGAGAACACGCAACGTGTAACGACGACGCAAATAAGTCGCTTAAGAACCGATCGCCTTTAAACATCCAACCGATCCCGAGACAAAACTTTTTTTTAACGTGATCATTTAATTAGCGAAACTCGTACACGTGTGCGTGTGTGTGTGTGTGTGTGCAATCATTCGCGTGTATGGCGCAACGAGTGACCAACGGCATTCCGTAGGACTCTACTTCCAATAAACCGAAATCTATGATCTAGCGTAAATCGACAGTGGTTTCGTGACAGACGTAGAGGGTGCAGCTGTTATGGCCTTATTATCTAATTAGAGGACACGTCCTCTGACACGTGTTTAATTATGTAACGAAGCTTCAGTTGTCTTTCATCACTTGACCCTCTCCGGATAAGAACAATTAGCACGCAGGCACGCATGCATCGACACGTGCATAAATGTGAACTTCGTGCCGAGGCACTTAATCTTGAAGAGGAAAAATTCTGTCCAAAGTAGATTCGTAGGGGGGAGATCCGTTGTTCCACGTATATTTCAAACAAGCTATGATTAATGATTAAACAACTCTGAATTTTTTTTTAATTTTTATTGTAATTATCCCCATAATTCGATGACAATTTTATAGAAAACAGATGTAAGGAACTATATTCTGAAATTCTTTTTTATATGCAAAGTTGTGTTTGAAGCGGTGAAAAAGTATTGACGCGGCCTACATGTTTATTGAAGATAACGATTGTTCGTTATCGAGCTAATCGTTATCGTCTAATAATAATAATACATAATTTGTCATATATACTGATAAGCATGTATTCGATATTTTGATGATAAGAAACATGTGCGAGGAATCACGTGGATTTTTATCACGATGGTGGCGCATTGTTATCGTTCGCGGATATCCAAACAATGTGAGTTAATAAAAGTATAAAAATTTAACAATTCATTTTATGACGTTTATACAGAATGTCTTAAAGATCTTCGTCGGAAAAGGGGACTTTTTAAATAGGACTCAAAAAGTAGTGACTAAAAGACTAGAAGCACATTCAATTATTTTAAAATTAGCTGTTTCTAGTGTATTTTATGTTTCATATGTGCTTTTTAGATATTTTTTATTATTTTCTCGTTCTTTTCATTAAATCTGAACAAAAGGCTATTTTTCATTTTGATTCTTGTTTCAGGATACCTTAGTAAAATCCGTGCTCAAGCAGCAGCAGCAGCAGCAGCCATACGGTATAAATATACTGTTGGTTCCACCAGGTTCCACGCTTTTCTCGAGGGTATTCAACTACGTATCTTGTGTCTTAAGTTTCAAGAGATATGACTATCCAATGGTCACGGGGACGGTAAGTTTCACTTTCGTGAGCTGTCAGAGTCTCAGAAGAAGACCGAATAACCGTTGTTAAACTCGTTCTCGCTATGCCGTTAGGTCTTGAATGATGAAAAATTAAAAGACGCTATCAAGCTAACCGCGTGGGAGACGGCCAATAATGAGGGTTGCAGCGAGGAGAAAGCGCTCGCGAAGGCGAAAGCCAGGGCCAGGAACATATTGCTGCAAATGGAGAGCAGATGCAGCGACACCCTCCTCAAGATAGTCTCGTGGCTGGTGTACAAACTGTTGCCCTGTTTTTTACAATCCGCCGTCATGTTACCCACTCAAATAGAGCTGCTGAAGCAGGCGGATGATACCGGTCTACCGCTCGTGCTGCTGCCGCTCCACCGCAGCCATTTGGACTACATAATGATCAGCTTCCTTATGGTCGCAAATAATATAAGGAATCCATTGATCGCGGCGGGGGATAACTTGAGGATTCCATTTTTTGGGTAAGTCTAGAATCTAACATCGATCTTAGTCTAAGTTGTAGGATCTTAATTTTAGGATTTTAACATTTATGAGAATATTTTCAACAATACGTTCAATATCGGTTGGCAGATGGCTTCTGAGAGGTCTGGGTGCTTTCTTTATAAAACGTCGTATTGACCCAGAATCAGGACGCAAGGATCTTCTCTATCGCGCAACTCTTCAAACGTACATCATGGAGAGTCTTCGTGCCGGACATAACATGGAATTCTTCGTGGAAGGTGGCCGCACGAGAACCGGGAAACCTTGTATGCCGAAGAGTGGCATCCTGAGTGTTATCGTCGACGCGTACATGGACGGCACCATCGAGGACGCGTTTCTGATACCTATAGCGATCAATTACGAACGACTGGTGGACGGAAATTTCGTTAGGGAACAATTGGGACAGCCAAAGAAAATGGAGACTTTTACGTCGACGATCAAAGCCATGTGGTCAACGTTAATGGGTCGTTACGGTATCGTCAAAATCGATTTCTGTCAACCGTTTTCCCTCAGGGTAAGAGAGAAAGAGAGAGAGAAAGAGATAATTCTTTTCAAATAAGATTGATCCAATGTCATCATCGATGACATTGAGAACTGTTAATGTGGAGAGATAATTTTCAACAGGAAATGGTAAAGACGTTCCAAGCTCAGCAAAATAAATTAGCTCTAAGAAATCCATCGGAACGACCTTTAAAATACACTATGTCGAATTCGTCTCTTTACGGTACGGATGTAATCGTGGAAGAACAACGACAATTGGTGGACAGCATCGCCCGACACGTTGTATATGGTGAGTCGAGATGATAATTATTACTCGCTTTATCGACTCTACCATCTTATAAAACATGTTATTGACATAGATATATTTCTGTTGATTGCAATATGATATTCCTATAATCTCTCACGGAATTTATCTGAAGTCATCGTTTAATTGCTTTCAGATTCGTCTAAATCTATGCCGATTATGTCAACCAATGTTGTGGCATTTTTATTATTAAATAAGTTCCGAGATGGTTGTACATTAGACAAACTGGTCGAAACGTTTGACTCAATGAGACAAGAGTTGGAATTTGCTGACAATAACGTAGCGTTTTGCGGAGAGAGCGTTGACATCATTAAACACGCGGTTGGTAGACGATAAGCGAAACGATTTGGTTACAAGAAAAGACGGACAAATTTATTAATCGTCAAACTTGTAGCTGGATATCTTGGGACCGGGTTTGGTGACGCAACAGCGACAGGAAATCACCGAGGCTGTTAACGGCGATCAATCCTACAAATCGAACGTCGTCATAGCGATCCGTCCTGTGTCGATTCTACCGAATGTGATCGAGCTGTCGTATTACAGCAATACTATGTTGTTGTATTATGTTATGGATAGTATAGTAGGTAAGACACCAAACAATTAGGATCAGGGAGGGCGAGCCGCTTAATTTTGTAACGCAATCTTGTTGTATTTTCAGTAACTGCTTTGTATGCTGAATTGCAGTCCCAGCTCAATAATCCGATCGCGATCGCAGAGAACAATATTACGGTGTTACAAAACAGTCTACTCGAGCGAGCACTTAAGTTGTGTGACATTCTTAGGTATGAGTTTATTTTCTGCCGGCCCTGCCAGGAACTGAGAGACATAGTTATTGAAACGATACAGAATCTTTCGCATAAGGGCATTATTACCCAGAAAGAGGTACGTCTGTTTTCATAGATAGTTGAATAATCTGTGGGTTATCATAATAACAAAAAAATGATTTAATAGCAAGTTTACCTGGAGGATGAACTCTGGAGCAAAAGATACGCGAGAAATTTTGATGATAGTTCGGACGAGGAGTACTCGAGAGAACGGGAAATCCAAAAGATTGAATATAAAGTAAATTTCTTTTCTTAAACATCGCTAATAACGTCTATGTACCAATCTTTAAATTACCACATATATATGTAAATGTGTTAAGGATAATCTGATGAGTTATATGTGTTTTTAAATTATTTTTAGTTGAGCTTAAAGCCAGAACATTCTAGTCGCATGGAATTTCTACATACAATGTTACGTCCGTTAATTGACACGTACACATGCAGTGCATTCAATTTGAGGAAGTTGGTCGACCGATCGCTCAGTGAACGAGAGTTAACTCAAGAAGTATTGAGTGAAATCAAAACCAAAGTAGACGGAGGCGTAGTTAGCTACGGTAAGTTATATAATGTATATTAAACTCAGCAATTCCGCTTAGATTTGGATATAATATAAAATATAATTATGTATTGATTGTAAAATTCTGTTGACTATATATATATATATATATATATATATATATATATAAAATTTTACGTTGCACAAAATTGCTTATAGTATAAAATAATATATGCAGCTTGAATCGCTAAATTAATGACTAAATGACTGAATGAAAGACTAAAATGTTGTTTTTATATTGAAATATTTTTAGGAGAGAGTTTATGCGTCGATCCGATAAAGAACTCCTTTAGGCTTTTCGAAAAATGGAATGTCCTGGAGTGCCACATGCAAGATAACGTTAAAATTTTGTACTTGAAAGAGGATTGCGATACGGCTGCGGCAACAAAAAATGTGTACGATACCATAGCACCTTTCAAGTGGGTCAGAAATATGGATTAAAACGTGATGATACTTCCTACTTTAGTCAAAAAGAGTCTTTGAATTACTATTTTTTATATCTTTTATAAAATCTCATTGATATACGTCCGGGTATCCGGCAATATTTTTTACGGACATCGTTCGTGGGTGTGTTAAGTACACAACTATAAATAGTATGTGTATTATAATACATATTTAAGTACGTACAGCCTGTACATAGCTTCTTTGAGTGAAGATAAAAATTTAAAAAATACGATATAGTATATCACTTGTGAATGTTTCTAAAAGCGCGATTCACATTCACAATGAAATACTTAAAAGTCCTGTTTCACGATGTAAAACTGTACAAATGCAAGATTAAACTATAGATCTAAGTTGGTTGTATCATAAAATATTTTTACGAATAAATAGACAATAGTACATATCACAGAAAGATGTTTGTAGTTATCTTGTTAATAAAAATAATTTTGTGTGCATATATTTTAATAGTCTTCTTAATTCAATTTAACATCTCGCTTAGTACCTCTTGCAATACAAACTTTTTAGTATCTCTATTAATATGTATATCGTATATGTATCCTGCATTATAAAATTTGTAAAGATTTTATGTATACACTCAGTATTTCACAGTCGACGAAATTGGGCAGCTCCTTCTGAGTCCCATACATTTCTCTCTATCAATGAATAATGCATCTACTTTAGACTGCAAATTACTTTCCAAATTAGATCTCGTACGTAAGAGTTGCTGATGTTGCGCCTCATACTGTTGCAGTTTCATATTCATATCATATACTATTTTATTAATATCTTCCACTTCTTTGATCACCCTGTAAAACGTGCAAATATTGTTGTCTGAATAGTGAATACGTAAATGATTCTAGCAAACCTGAGTTGGGCGTGATCCTTGCACAGTTCAGTTTCTGGACGATGCGTCCTGGCTTCCAGCCGCGTGTGCGCAACTTTCAATGCCGAACTTTTATCAGCGATAGTTTTTTGCATTAATACCATGCTTTTCTCGATGTCGAAAATCTCTTCTTGAATCTAAAATATTCACATACGTAACATTGAATTTAGCACATAAGATTTTAGACAAGAAAGATCTAAAGATTGTTATGAAGATTTTACGATCTTTTCAGATATCTTTAGACGCTTTCTGGATTTTCATACTGTTAATAATGTTAATAAAAATGTACATGCCTCTATTTGCGAGCTTCCATCTCAGCTTTTACTTTACGTAAATGAAAATGTTTCTTACCTTATATAAATGCGTTTGTAGTTTTTCCTTCGCTTCCAACATTTCGTTGATTCGTCTGTCCAGCGCTTTATTGGTTTCAGTCCAAGCTTCGCATATCTCGCCTACCGCGTTTATGGCACTGTCAACGTCATTCCGTAATTTGCGCGACTTTGCTCGCTCTGTCTGTGATTTCTTCACTATACTGTTTGCCGCTTCCGCCCAAGATTCAGTTCCGATAACACTGTAAACGCAATTGTTATAGCTTCAGTCATGTGTCAGTCAGTAGAGAAACGTTTAAGTATATGAAGTGTATGAAGAACGGAATAACGTATCTTATTTAGTAAAGTGAAATACAAATATCAATTTATTTGAAAAAAATTTTATTTTTTTTAGTTTCCGTTCTCTTAAATTAAATACTACAAGAGAGATATATCTATAAATAAAAAATTTAATTACCTAGGATTATATCTTTCTATGCCACCGTAATATTGCAGGCCTCGACTAAAATTGTTCATCTGGTGACACACGCTGTCGATTCCTAGCGCTGTTTCTTTGTTCTGCACATCAATCTGCAGCTGATGTTGGGCAGCTCTACCGTTTGTTAACTGAAAGGCATCATAGGGCGAGTTCTTCAAGATCGACACTGCAATCGACAAGCCTACAACGTACCTGATTGGCAAATTTATCCACGAACTGTTCCAATTTCTTCTCACAATTTCTCACCGTTTCGACCAGCAAAGCTCTCTCGACCTCATCGTGAACCAAATCAATACCTATTAATATTGACTGATTTAATTGAATCTCCCCTAAGTGATGCAGTTCTACAAGATTCTTCTATTCTTCTTTTTTATATTGATTGTTTATTTTCAATCTTGATACATCATTGTATCTCTTACGATCTATTGTCAGAAAACGAAGAACCTTTTCTCGACTCCCGATGATAAAGACATTCTTGCGCGATATGTAATTGTCCCTCGTGATTTTGAATTGCAACTTGCAAGCCGCGACGACACTCCTGCATTTTCCCGTTTTCTACGATTAATCTCTCCAATTCCGACGCCACTTCGTTCCGCCAGAAAGTGATGTCTGTGATTCTTTCTCCGAGCTTTCGGCCGCTCTCTATTTGTCCCTCCTGTACCTTTTCGTCGGCTTCTCTAAGGTAGATATTACAGCAACGATATATTTCGGGAAATACCCTCAAATCACATATATGTAATTTATTAAGGAATAATTTTCAAGTCCTACCGCACGGAACATGCAGTGCTGTTGCGCAATTTTTCGGAATAGCTCCTATTCGCATTCGCTTCATTGTAGAGCTTGATTTGGTCCTGTACCCAGTCACATGGTGTATACCGCGTATAAAGCGCGGCACGTGCCGCGTGCGAAGGATTGCGATCGAAACCGGTCACCAAGTTCGGGAACTTGAGCGGCTCCGTCGCCAATCCATGCGACGTGCGACAAGCATCCACCAGTAGATTCGTTACGGGTTGCGCAGGCCTAAATAAAGATGAATTCGAATAAAAGAAATATGTTTTAAAACAGTACGAGGAGTATATACAATAATTTCTTATTTATACATATAACATATATTTTATTATTTATTAAAATATATATTTGAAAAATATTTTCTTACAATTTATGAAGAGCATGTGTAATCTCTTGAAAATAATTTTTATCTTTTGTACACTAAAAATAGCGTGACACCTTTAAATTGCGGCTTGTGCTTTCGAACATTGGAAATATATTAGTCACTCACAAGGGAGCTACTTCTACGACCTCGTATCCCAAAGTAGGACGCCAAGGATGTGGTCTTGGGGTCTTATAGAATTCTCCGACTCTGGCTGGAACCGGAGGGCCGGCGACCTGCTCCATGCACGGCAAAACGCCGACTGTGCTCCATGGCTGCAGTTGCTAAATACAATAATAAATATACATGAATAATAACACAAACGAAAATAAATGTATATGGTATAAAGGGAAGGTCCTAAATACGTTTCTCAATCGTTTGTGCGTGCTATCAAATAAAATGCAAACAGTTTATCTTTTTTTAACTCTTCGTATACATCTGACCAATATAAGATTGACAGAATTGTTTAAACTGGAATATCATGCAAAATATTTAATAATAACAATATTTACGGAGTACATGACGGTCTTTTTCTCGGTTTTTACATTAGCCATCGCTTACGATAAATTTCGTAAATTTCTTTCCACGTCCAGAGCAAATATAATAATACAGGCGCAATTCAGCGCAATTTCGAAGGCGCGACTGTCCTGAAGTCTGAAGTAAGAATACTCTCCCTCACTCCCTCTCTCTCTCGACGTCTCTCGTTCGAGAAATAGATAAGATAATTCCATTAATCGCGATTTTTCTCACGAAACAGCAAAGACGATCCATACGTAAAGAAATTATACAATCGTGAAAAGGCGGGGCGCTTTTTCGAAATCCGGAAGTGCATCGGCCACGTGACGTGTCACAGGCGGTCTGCGGTCACGAGGTGGTAGTGGTCAGGTGCTTCGCGGAGTGCCTTCTGCTCTCAGTGTCTCAGTCACCGAGTCACCGTGTCTCACCGTTCAGCGCACAGTTCAGCGTGAGTTCGCGTTCGTTCGACCTGGCCTCAACTCCGACCTCCGGGATGACGGGAAAGCCGAGCGGCGGCCTGGTCCGCGCAGCGCCGTTCCTCGCGCTGTTCGCCGTCGTCGTCTGTCACTTGGACTCGGTCCGCGCCTGCACGCCCGCCGTGATCTGGTGTCCGCACGAGGACTACGAGAGTATCTTACAGAAGTATAGCTTGTGGGGGGCCTACCGAGTGGTGTTGTCGAACCCGCTGCACAAGCTGAATTCCGAATATTTCCTGGGTGGCCTGGTCGAGCTCAACGTCACCGAGCCGGCGATCATCGCCGAGGAGCTGTGCGTCGAGGATCTGCGGAACAGCAAGGTTAGTCGTCCCCTGCTGGTCTCCCTCCTGGTTATTCGTCTACCTCTGTAAAAAGGATGCTTTATTCGGAGCTTCGGGGGTAGGAACAGGGGAAAAGAGGGGGAAAGAACCCCGAGAAAAGGAGGATCTCGACAAGCAGATTGCACCTGGTTCACGTTATGATATTGTCACAAAGTTTAAATGTGTTACCTCATTTCTTACACTCCTTTCTGACTGGTTTCTGGATGTACAGTTCCAATTTGAAAGTAGAAGGTACACAAGAAGAAAGTGTACCTAAGACAAATAGATCTTGCGTGGAACATTTAATGTGCTAGGACCGTTTTAGCTTGTTCCATTATGATCTACAAATGTATTTTCCATCCTACAAGCGTATGTCCCTGTGTGCTGTATTAATTGCAATAATTATAATTAAGAACGTAGAACACAGTTATATCGATTACTTCTTTCCAGAGATTATAAGACGAAATTGTTATGAATATTACAACTATTGCAGGTGCTGTCGAACGCCGTCAACGGTTCAAAGATCATTTATTTCCCATGTGTCATCACGCCGGACGTAGTTTACCGGAAGATTTACCGGATTTACGAGATAAAAACGATAGAAGATATGAACGATGATCACGAGCTCAACATGGCCCTGAAGGACATCGATTCGAATTCGTGCATAGCGATTACGGGAAAGCAGTGCCGTTACAGCTACGCCGAACGGATAAAGAGAGAAGCGGTTGCGGACAATTCTACGGAGTTCAAGATAAAAACAGACAGAATTATTCTGTATTCCGCTAAGCCACTGTTGTTCAGGGTAAACAACATTGTTCAATCTAACGTTAATACTGCGCAAGAAATCTTCAAGCAAATTTCATAAAGCTTCGAGCCTTTTTCATGATACTTGTATATTAAGCGATAAATGGGGAAAAACTTGCGAAAAGCGCGAACATCTTCGATATCGATCAATTAGACAAATAGAAATTAAAGGTAATTGAAGGTACAATTAAAGTATCTTGTTGCAGGCATCTGACAAGTCGGAGCATGTGGAACTTGTTCAATCCAAAGTCTCCGGAGCATCAAGTCGGAGCACCAAGGATGAGAAAACTGTGATCTTGGCCATCAAGTTCGCCGGTGTCGAGAACATCGGCGATATGACACTTGAGTTCTTCTTCCAGATCAAAAGCGTCGGCTACTACACGCTGAACAGAGTGAATTACGAGACGAGCAACAATGGAGAACTGTTTACCAGGCGGGACATTTCCTTCCCGTTCAATTTCTCTTATCATTGCACGCCGAAAACTGTATTCTCCGGAAACGGCTCCGCGTACTTGAGCATCTCGGATATGCAAGTACAAGTCGATCCCAAGAACGTGACGTTCAGTGATGCGTACGACTGCGTCGGTTTTACCAGTATACCGATTTGGACGGGAATATTCGTTACGGCGATACTGGGCATGATTATGATATGGGCGCTGACTATGATCATGGATATCCGTACGATGGACAGATTCGACGATCCTAAGGGGAAAACTATTACGATCTCCAGCGCGGAATAGAATAATAATGGAAACTTATAATGCAATTATAGGTATTGAGTACTCGTGCGAAACTTTATCACAATTATCGTGTCGATTGTTCAAGATAACGATTATCGTCTTGAACATTTAATTCCCCGATTTGAGTGTCACACGTTTTCACAGAAACCGAGAGAGTATTTAGTAGTAATGATAATACTAGTCTCATTACGAAGAACTTTCGCTCGATGTATAAATATATCATTCCTTTGTATAATATTATCTTACTTTCGATATTTATATATTGTTCGCTATTGTACGTTTGCTGTTTGTATGATATAATGGTTATGAACTTCTTATGTTAGTCCTTATGCGTATGGAAAGTTCTAAAATCCTTCGAGTGAGTGAAAATAGCACAATATACATATATCATATTAAAGATATAAACGGAAAGTGTTCTTTGAAACAGGAATATCATAAGCAGTAGAAAAATAAATTAGCCATGTAAACTCACGGTGCAACCGAGACAGCTGCGTTATTGCCCGTTATAGCGCAATGTAATGTTTTATTATTTCAAAAAACGATAGTAAAAAAAGGCGGATTGTGAACCGAGAACCGTCACACGGTAGGCGAATAATTTCTACTGGATAAACGCCTTCTATATGCCTGTACAAGCTTCCTTGTTGATAAGAGTTTGTAAAAAATATGTAACATAAGCTATATAATATAAATGTTTAATATAATGTATAAGACATACAATATAAACGTCCTGTAAAATTGATTTGTTGCTTTCTTTATTCATGTCGCACACGCAGGAACATCAATACCGTGAATTATCATGAACACCATAGAATGTGGTGGTAAAAACACGGGATTTATAGGATCCAATATCAAAGGTCGAAACGGCGGCAAATCTCCGTTCGGTTGCAGCCTTAGCGCTTCAGCTTCGCCATTCAACTTTATCTCGCTGCAAAACGAATGTAACTCAAATTTGCCATTCAATCAGCTTAATATCCGTTATAAAGTTTCATTTGATCACTATTTTATACGTACCTCGATTGCAAATGATCGGCGGTCAGAGCGTAATAGAAAATCTTTACGGTTTTACTGGGTTGTATAAACAACTCTGGAATATCCACGTAGGCGGCGATCTTGGCTATATTCATTCCATAGAGCGTGACAGCCGGCACTCGGGCGATCAGCGCTTTCTTCGGCGTGCAATGCGCGTACAATCGTACGTAGCCGAAATTATTGGGCGTAACCAATCGCAGGACCCTCTCCGACACGAATTGCTTGTAAAAGACACTGACCCACCAGTCGGGGTTTGGCGTGAGATCCGGCGATACCATAGCGTAATCCCCGCCGAATAACGATTGTCTCGTGACGACGTTTAATCCCGCCCTAGCGCTGTACCCCAATTTGTCCAACCATAGAAATCCGGCTACGAATCTGTCGGACAATCCGGGCGCACCTCCGCCAAACGCAGTGCTGGTCTCCGCTATAAATTAGATCTTCTATTGAATGCAGCCTTTTGTGTTATGCAATAGTATATTCGCAATTGAAAAATCCATCCTAAAAAGATTGTGCGAGTGATGAATAATGTAAAAAAAAAAGATATATTTTAAAATCGGAAGATCTGCAGTTTTCAAGAGAAGTTATCACAAATTTAGAGACTTATATATGTATAATTTAATGCATGTAATTATAATAACATGATTTAGAGAAATAATTTCTCAAGAGTGAAACTGAAGGCAGAAAAGTGATACTTGCAAATGAATTCAATATCTTAACGTTAAGTCTCACGACGTAAGATACATACATAGCCACGTAGGAACGTCTTTTCCTGACTCGACAATGTATTGTCTCAGGGAATTAATTTCCGCTGGTAATGAGTTGAACGTGAGAGGATTCACGAAATCATTGACCTTAGCTTCTCGTCCATTCAGATAATACTGATGCCAAGTGACGTAATTCACGGTGTTCTTCTGGCTACTCAAAAACGTTTTGGCATAATACTCTCCCACGCCATCTCCGACGTGATTCACTTCTGGTCCAACGAGGATGCTGTCGACGTATCCTGCTACGTTTAGCAATTCCCTTAAATGATCGTAATTCTTCGCGAGTTCGGTCGCAGGGATTGTCACGTTGAACACGTGTTTAAAGGAATTTGGTTCTGAAAATGTCAAAATAAGTATCAGAGGTTATATGCGCGCGTACCATTCTGTATATCAATTATATGTGTGTACATACATATTTTGCAATAAATTAATATTTACACTGGTATTCTCATGTAATGAAAATTTTCTTCTTAACTTATTATTAATTTGACATTTATATATCAATCACATTTTACACACATATAATTGACTTTTCGCGTTTATAAAGTTGCCTACCGTTTCCCAATTGCCAATCTAGTAGCATTCCTTGATTCTTAGCAAACGCAATAATCTCCTGTGTGTTACTGTCATCCCAGGACCCATCTGGATTTCTGAGCAACACGTTCAGATCGAAGATCATTCGTAACTCGGACTTCACTGTAAAATCATAGATAGCGAGCAAATCCGCACCGGATATGGTAAAGTTGCTGATATCCTGACCATCTACGGGACTGAGGATCTTCTCAGAAGAGCTCTGTTCCATCTGAAATAGTCATGCGTGCATTAAAATAGCAAGATTGAAGCTTCAAGTAATTTTATAATTAAATGTCGTTCTATAATCTCAAAATAAGTAGAATAAGTGAATAAGTCTGTATCACAATTTGCAAGATCTTTTTGTGTTACTTATAAAGAATGTCATATTTAACAAACCGACCTGATCCTGAACAAATGTCAGACAATCCGCAGAGGTTCCACCCACTCGGACATAAGCCGGGCTTAAGTGACGGGCCAAATTGACAAATTTTTCCTGTCCGACGGGCAATTCATTCATTCTTCGAAGTAAAGATGTGTCGAGACCGAACGATAAGAATTTATCGGAGATGATGTGTAACAGAGGCTGCTGTCTGTCAAAATGGAACATATAGGAATGGATTGGAGGATGAATATTGGAGCTCCATAACGAAAAAATCAATAGCGTCGAGCATAGGCCCAATGCGGTGCAGCAGAGTATAGAGCGTACAGTTGGGCCTGCAATGGGAATAACATGTCAAAATTTATTAGCAATGAAAAAAGCATACTATGAGAAATAAAAAAAATAGTTACATGCAACATATGTATGGCTTTGAGATTATTTTAACATATTACAAAAAATTTTACAATTTTACACTTTTACTTTCACAACACAGCAAAGGAATTATGCAACAAAGCAGATTAAAAAAAAAATACATTAATAAAGCAAGAAATGTACATGAAATCAATAGATCTATAAATGTAATAAATATAACTTTATAAAAATAATAAAAGTAACAAATATATGACTCTAAATACAATAAATATAAATCTATAAATGCAATCGATATCTCTGCAAATGTGATAAGTAGAACTACAAAATATTATGATGCACATGTGTGTTCAAACACGACCACGTGACGCGGAGTTTCCCGGTAAGCATGGCGGCAGGATGGTGGGATGGTCTCATTAGCGGCTTGCCATCGGCGACGTAACGCAAAGAAAGACAAAGACAGGATGCAATACGTCAACACGTGATAATTGATATAGCGTTTCAGACGAGGTGATTCATTCGCGAGCAAGAAAAGCGAAAAGGCACGTAACGAGTCGTAACGTTCGTCTAACATCTTCACAGAGATGCGTCCCAAGTCCGAACTTACCACCACGTACGCGCGAGTCGCTCAGATCCTGATACCGGCTCTTGCCCCAGTCGTTGTTCGCGAAGTAGCTCATCGTCGTCGAGGAGATTCCCACAGCCTGGCCGGACCGACGAAATCGCGAATGTCAATCCGCACGCTCGCCGCTCTTTTTGCGCAATTGCGCATCCTCTGTGAACAATTGAATCCTCGAACCTCCACCAACCTCCGCTTGTTTCCGCCTCGTGCCGCGAGAGCGATCGAGGCGAGCGCGGGCGGAATGGCCGGGATGAAACCCATGCAAGCAGAGCAAAGAATCATAATGACTGCGTTTTGCCAAACCTCTGCTTAGCTAAGCGCAAAGTAGCAATTAAGTGTAATTGGTTGGATCCAATGATAAGAACCAATCACATTCAATTGCTACTTTGCGCTTAGCTAAGCAGAGGTTCGGCAAAACGCAAATATGAGATCAAAAGTGATGTCAAAATAGCGTTCAAGTGACTTTTATGTAATGAAAGTCATGATAACGTCATTAAAAGCTCTATGTTCTACCTGGAGTGAACAGACTGTTCTCCGCCTTATTTTCTCCGATGCAAATCAAGAAATAAATAGACGAATTGCAAAACAAAATAGATAATCGCGAATAACTAATTCGTAAAACGAACACTTGCCGTTCGAATAAAAGAAAGAATATGAAGAAACAGAAAGTTCGTATTTAAAAATTAATTTCATGAATTAATGGCACGGATTGAAAAGTTTCGATTATTTTGGCGAATAATTCGTATATTTTGAATAATTCGTTTATTCCGAATAATTCGGATAGTTTCTTCAAGACTAATCATATTATAATAGCGGTCTGAGATAAAATGTATACACGATTTACCTCTTCTATAAAGAAATTTTCTGATTATCCCAGTAACAAAATTACTGGGATATTGTTGATTTTACTTCTGTTTAGATTTTTTGCCACGTGATCTTTTTGCTTTCTTAACGTTCCGTGACTTGTTCGTTCGTTCACAATGATTTACATGCGCCAAGATCGCTTCACTTTTGAGACCTGAGCCAGAAGTGGATGCAGCCTGATGGTGTTCCGAAGAGACTACTGTGTTTAACGTACAAACCGTTTCCTCGATACTAGTAGACGATGCTTTTTCCGATTGTAATTTCTCTGTTTTAGGGTTCAACCAACGTCTTCGTGTTCTGCGAACTAGACACAGATAATTATACACATATATATATATATATATACACATTTAAAAAGAGTGTGTCCAGTAGTTTAACATTAAGTAATTGCGCGACGAATATGGAACGTACAATAAGGTGGAGAGGCGCGTTAAAGTTTACTTTTAGGCGAGGTCTCCGCGACCGAATCGGAGCTGGAATTCGAAGGACGGGGAATGCAGGAACGACTCCTGTTCGCGGCACGGTTCCTGTAGGAAACGCTATGCCGACGCTTCCTCTTCGCGGTTAATCTCTGCCGCGATGACTCCGAGCTGCTCAGCTCGTCCTCCGCCCAGAATTGCCGATCGGTATCGTCCGAGATCGGTGGAGCCGGAGCCGGTGGCTTTAAACATCACGAACAATCATTCTATGGCCCGCGCATAAAAAGGGTCGTGTACGCGCTATGTATTTGCTCTCTCTCGTTTTACGCTTCGCTCACAGCTTCCCCGTGGGTTTCCGAAGCGCGTCCTCCTCTCTTTTCTCCGACGTCGGAGGTACGATTTTCATAACCCTCTTCCTCGGAGCTGCACGTCATCTTCGCGTCCCCCCAAGCGCAATAGTAGCCCATCCTCCTATTTCGCATAGAAATCGCGCACCGCTGCAATTGTCACGTGCAAAATTTATCACATTTTACAAAATTATTGTTTCGACATACTGGCGAATTTTTACGGATAATCAATCGAGCAATTATAAGAGTTGTACGAGATGTGTAGTGTTTTTTTCTTGCAGGTACCGCAGATCGGATTTATCGCGATGCGAGATAATTCTTTTATGGTCCTGGTTTCGAGAAAACCGTTAATCCTTTGTTGAATTTTTGTTTATTATACACGTTTGCAGAAAACAAAACTGTACAATCGACACCTTTGAAACAGATTTACTCTTACCTCTATCTTTTTTTTTATCAATATAATTTCTTATTATATTTAAAGATAAAGAGAGTCAAAAACAGAAAAATTGAACTGAAAGAAGTGTCGCTTTGTAATGCTTAAATTTTACAGCTCACTATTTACAACTATCTCAGTTGTCACACACATAGTTGTATCGTAACTGACCTTACAAAATACGAGGGAGATCAATTAATTTTATACAATGATTATATCACAAATAAACTTTTCTCGTAAGCTTTGGGTACCGCTTAATCAATGTCTGAAAAATATCTCTGCCACATTTCACTCTTTCGCTCTCAATTGCTTTCACGCACGAGCGTATCTTTACAACTGTACAACTTGTTAACATGATCTAATCGTTCTCGGATTTTCTGCGTTTTTTCGAACGTGGACTGTCGGTATCGTGGGGACTCGGAGTGATGTGACTTCGTTTCCGTTTAAGGCTGCTCTCGATTGCCTCGCTGCTACTGCTTGCAGCAGTCCTGGTCTCTCTCCGAAACGTTCCTTCTCCCGTTGCTTGCACCAATATCTGACAAATAAATCACACGTTAGTGACGCTCGAAAATTTGAAATACATTCAAAAAAATACAATAAAATGCACACTGAAAGAGAATATGATACAAAAAATATTCTAGCCCGGCTTTAACGATTTTTTCACGAGTACTGTATTGCTTTCCTCTAATCAGTTTCCTAACGCATTTTTAAACAAGTATGTCACAGCAGCCGTTAGCAAAAAGTATAAATTACAGTTATGACTAATAAACAAAATATTTTCCTTACCTGCATATGTTGCAAGCACTCCTCTTGCATCGAGACTGCCATTTTATAGATAAACGTATCGTGTTTGTTGTACATAATCGCGTTCTGAAACATAACCATGACGTCCCTCTGAAAGTGCATGGTCGACCTAATCGTGCCGTTGTCGATGTTCTTTTTGATGGTCGACAGATCCATCGGTCGAAAGATCACCGAGTGATATCCAGGCGCCTGGTCCTCCGTGATCGGCCTGAGAAACACCGACGCGTACTTGTGCGTGGCCAGACGATTGTAGACGAGCATGACCGCTTTCTTCCAAGCACGGTAATCCGCGCCTTCTCCGGTGCTTTCGTTTTCCGGCTCGCTGTCTACGGCGACGTTCTGCTTCTTGGAATACGTCTTCATCGCCCGGCCGCTGTTCAGTTTGCTCAACGGGGACTCTTCTTCGTCCAATTCAGGCTCCTCCACGACCGTGGATTCCATCTCCTTCTTTATGTTCTGCTCGCCCTCCGCGTTCTTCTTGACATCCGTTTTCTCCCCTTTCTCCTCCTTCACCTCCACAGTCTCCTTCTTGTCTTCCTCTGATAGACCGTGAAGCGGGCTCTTCCTGTGGAACGAACCAATAACTTCCGGTGCCGTTTCGGTCTTTGGTTCTTCGGACTTGACTTCCGCACTCTCGGTTTTCTTGATACTCATTTCCGCGACGGTTGTCGTCGCCTCGACTGGCTCAGTCTTGACACTTTTCGCCTCCTCTACGGTTACCACATGCTTAGTATCCTCGTTTCTATCGACCGATTCACTGCCGACCTTCTCCTCTTTGACCTCTGCATCCTGCAAGATGGAACTCGTAGTATCTTCCGAAGAGTCCTTGACCTCCTCCTTCTTAAACTCGTCAGTGTATATCTCCAATGTTTCCTCGTTCGCTCCTTCTGCCTGTGACTTTACCGAGGGCTCCTCTTTTATCTCCATGACAATCTTCTCTTTCACCAGGACCAATTCCTCCTTGAACGATTCCAAGGACTCAGTGCTTTCAGCCGTGTTCTCGATAACCTGCTCTTCCGCCACTGCTTTCTTCTTACTCCCCATACTTTGGCTGCTCTCCTCGTCCTCCAGGATCAAGCTGATATCCTGTGACTTTTCCGTGTCTTCAGTACCACTGGGTAGGTCGTTCGTCACCTCCGAAGAGACGCTGACAATCTCCGCGGACGGCACGTCCTGCTGATCCCCTGTAATTTTCGCCAGATATATTTCTAATTGATCTAATCCCGCATTAGTTTTACCTTCAGTGTCTTCTAGAGGCTCCTTCTGCTCTTTAACGCTACCGGGCGACTCTTTACCATCAGGCGCAGTCACTTCCGTTTCTTCTTCTTCCTCTTCATCTTCCTCTTCTACCTCCTCGTCCATGGTCTCGTCTATCGTTTCCTTCGTTTCGTCCGGAAGTTTAGAATTATTCTCCTCAGGCTCTACGTTCGACGAGGTGTCCACGGATTTCGTTTCAACGTCCTGTTGTTTCTCCTCCGTTGGAGCATCCTTACTTGTCTCTTCGTCATTGATTTTTACCTCCGAAACGAGTTTTTCTGTCAAAGTCGTCCTCTTATCACAAGTACTCGTCTCGGACTTCGTCTCTGATGTGTTTGATACCGTCTCCGTGATCTCCGCAACGATAATTTTTGGTTCCTGCGGATCTATGGCGACGGTCCCAATAATCTCGGCGATATTCGAGGTACTGGAATCGATCTCCTCAATCGCCATCTCGCTCTGTGGCGAATCGGATAACGACACGGGTTCGTCCACATCCCTCGGCTGCGGCCTTGGTTCCGTTGCCGCTGTCGGCATTTCCGTCGCTTGTTGGGGTACACTCGTAAGACCGCCGATGACTGTCGTTGTCGTCGTCGTCGTCGTTGTCGAGCCACTTGTGTCCAACGTCTGCGGGCTACCGGTTATCTCCTCCTTGATCAACTCTTCGATGTCGTCGATGATGTCGTTTATCTCGTCCTTATCTATCACGTCCGCCATTATGTCTTTCCGCATCACGTCTATGTGGTCAATTATCTGCACCATGTTCTCCGACACGGGTATATTTGCCGAAACGGCAGTCGCCGGAGCTGTCGCCGATATCGTCGTCGCCACTTGCTGAACAGCCACTTGCTGAACCTGGTCCTGCGATTGCACGGCTTGCTGGAAATTGCGCACCTCAGGGGTAGTGGCGGCCACGGTTGCGGTTGTCTGTTGTTGCTGCGCGTGGGACACGATCGCGTTGGACGATGTCGTTTGCAAATTCGGTAGAGGTCCTCTTTGCGTGCTCGCCGGCATTTCCAGCAGCATGGAAAGCGTGGGAGCGCCGACGGATGGCCGTTCCGGTGTCGCGTTCGCGCTGGCTATCGCCGTCGACACCAACTGCTGCAATTGCGGCGACACGTTCTGCGCCAGTTGCGCGTTTAACATCTTAGGGCTGGACCCAAGTAGGCTGGTGATGGTTGGCGAGCTCACTTGAACGGGAGTGGACGGAAAGGACTGCACGGTCTGAGTGGTCGGACTGGGAGATTTCAGGAGACTCGTCAGCAACGGAGACCTGCCGCCCCTGTTACTTTTCTTCTCCTCGTCATTCTCCGCCGGCGATTCCGTCGCCCCAGATTCCTGCACCACCTCCGTCACACCTTCCGTGTGTTTGCGATTCACGATCGAAGTCGAGACGGACGGCGAGCTCATCTCTTGCTTCTGTTGCTGTTGACGTTTTGCCAGCCACGCTATGTGGGTTCGTGCCTTCTGCTCCGACTCACGTTCCTCCTGTTGTATATCGAGCCACATCTTCTCCAGCTTCTCGTCGCTTATCGCGCCGGACTTGAGGTGGTTTATATCCGCCTTGAGTCGCAAATACTCTTCTTTCTGACGGGTCAGATTTTGGCTCAGCTCGCCTATTCTCTCCTGCGTCAATTTTCTGACTATGGACTCGCTGGTGGTCTCCCCGCTCTCCCGCTTCTTCCTCTTCGGCGTGTCGGCATTCTCCAGTAGACAAGCGTATTGCATGGCGCATGACTTTTGAGAGAACCAGTCTGCAGGCCTTACCGGTTCCTTTTCAACAAATGGCTTCAACGACCTGGACACACTCATCCAATTCTGATCTCCAGACTTCAGCACGCTTGACGCGAGACACAATTGTTCTCGGGTTGACCATGTGTCGCAGGTTGAGTTCGTACGTTTGACTTTCATTCCTGAAATTTATTTTCTTAATTAGATTACTATGTAACTATTGTAACTACTACGTAACTACCTTTCATATGGCAGGAAATACCACATAAAAATGTTATAAAATTGATTAAATAAACTTAATTTTAATCATCAACTTCGTAAAAGTTTTGTCATAAGACAAAAATTACTAGTATTGATATATTAAATCTATTTTAGTTACATTTTCTTTCCTTCTTTTACTTCACTATTTTCTTTCCTTTCCTCTTAAAATTAACTTTTAAATATACATGTTAATTAAACATTAAAAGAGCAGAGTATAAGATTTTTTATTTACGTTAATATTCTTTGTTTGTCCGGTTTATAGGTTAGAAAAACCTTATTAACTCGTGCCAAGTGTCTGTCAAAGTATCCTGTTCCTTTTAAAAGCTAAAAATAACGTATTATCCGTGAGTGACAAATATATAATAAAATTACGTAAAAGTTGGTTTAAAACCAAAATATTGATTGGAATACTCAATACACAATTGTCTTAACCTATAAGTCAAGCTTTTTTCGTCAAAAACGCGTCGAAAAATTTCGAAAGCCGAACTTACTGTCTTGCATGGATGTCATTATGCCTTTTTCCGAGAGATTCCAGATTCACTGTAATTCACGAGGTACGTGCGACGCAGCTTCAATTTACGATTAATCCGTCGCCGCACTTTGCCACGCGATTGTTCAAAAAATAATCGAAAACAAGTTTAGTTCCACTTCCACAATCCACTGCCACTGCCTGCAACAGACCCGCCGTCGCGGAACGCGGAACGGACGGACAGCTGATCGCGATATTCGTGATTCGAACTCGCGCGACGGAACGCCGGAACGTCGTGACGGCGTGACGGGAGAACAGCGTAATGGCGGAACGAGCGAGGGCTACCGAAGTATGCGTCGACCCAGGTTGCGCCTCATCGCCGTGAGTTGAGACGACCGCGACGCGTAAAAACGAGCGAGCGAGTCACGCGCCACGCGTGAGGATCCGTCACCGAGGACGCTGATCGTTTGTGATATTCGCCGAGTCCCCCGCCGCGGCACGATGATGAATAATCGCAGGCGGAGCAACAACTTCACGTACGTCAGCTCGTGCGTGAAGTACATGATCTTCATGCTGAATTTCGTCTTTTGGGTAAGCGAAACTCCGTCCGTGGACTCGTCTTTCCGCATTCCTCGCGTCGCGCTTGATCCACACCGCGTACTCTCGAATTCGCAATTTCCTCGCAGACGTATATAGAGATGACACATTTGTGTCACTTTCGAATCTCCAATTGTTTGCTTAGCTGAAATCTCCATGCGTCTTTACGTGGATTAGATAAAATGGAACGAGAGTTAAAGATAATCAATAAGTTAGTTTTCCATTGCTAAACGAGCTACATTAGTTCAAGAATTGTACATACCCTAAAATGTGAGAATCTGATGTCGGTTTCTCATACTTCAATGTATATGTACACCTCTCGAACTAGTCCAGCAAGTGCGGCAACAGAAAACAAACCTGATGTAAAAACGGCGATGATTGTATTCAAATGGTTTTTCTTTATGCCCAGCTGTTTGGCGGACTGCTAATCGGCGTAGGTCTCTATGCGTTCGTGGACAAATGGCAGGCAACTGGATCTGTCAGGGTGGAGAACGTCTACGACGTGGTCCTGAATATCTCCCTGGTGATGCTGATAGCCGGCGGAGTAGTCTTCGTCGTTAGTTTTGCGGGATGCGTCGGAGCCCTTCGCGAAAACACATGCCTTCTTAAATTCGTTAGTATTCTGTATACAAGAATGTTCCTTCAAGCCGCGCGAAACACACGCGATTGACCAACCGAATAATTTTTTTTTCCAGTACTCGCTGTGTCTTCTGGTATTCTTCCTTTTGGAGATGGGTGTGGCGATCGTCGGTTTTGTGTTCCCGCACACGTTGCAATCCCTCTTGGAAGAGTCCTTCACGGACAAAATAATTCAGACGTACAGAGAAGATCCGGATTTGCAGAATTTCATCGATTTTGGCCAGCAAGAAGTAAAGACCACCGATGAAATTATTAACAATGATGAAAAATACATTTCTCATGCTTGTACAAGTTATCCAATGTCGTATACTCAGTAAAATATTCGTAAAATTTTACGTTGCAGTTCAAGTGTTGTGGCCTGAGTCAAGAGGGATACCTAGATTGGGGGAAGAATGAATATTTCAATTGCACTAGCCCCAGTGTGGAACGTTGCGGTGTACCGTTTTCTTGTTGCATAAACGCTACTGATATATCCGTACGTACATTGTCACATTTATGTATGGAAAACCAAATATTAAAAGCTATTTGACACTGTACAAATAAAATAATTTCAACTTTCACAGAGCGGACTTGTAAATATAATGTGTGGCTACAAAGTCCAGATGTTACCAGTGTCGGAAGCAAGCAAGAAGGTGTGGACCAGCGGATGCATCGAGATCGTGCGTAGCTGGGCGGAACGTAATCTCTACACGATAGCTGGTATCGCTCTGGGCATCGCGCTCAGCCAGCTCTTTGTGATCTACCTCGCGAAAACGCTGGAGGGCCAGATCGAGCTGCAGAAGTCCCGCTGGCATTCCTGAGCTTGACTTCAGGCCACCTACCGTTATCAGATACATTCTGCAGCCAATAGGCAGGTGGCCAGCGGCGGCCGATCGCGCGGATCGCAGGACACAGAGACAAATATAAACGCGCGAATGGCACTCCTCGTTCTCTTTGCGATCTCTTTATATATACTGTGCATTTTGTCCCTCATCAAGCTCGTCCTTTATTTCAAGAATTACTTTCACCTGTACGTGAGTAAAGGATAATACGTCGCCGGCAGTCGACGAGCTGTCTTCGTACGCTAGAGGATACGTTCGCGATCGAAGGCATCGATAAAGATCTTGCATAAAGATTATATTACATACGTGGGTGCAGAAATGGTGTCCCGTGTGCGTTCACAATCAGCGGTAAAAGCTCTTTTTAATACTCAGGAAAGCATACCTTCTTGCTTACATAGTTAATTGCATGATTGAAATGCTTCGCGTTTGCATCGGCGAGTCACGTGTCATGCGATCATGCTCTTGTGAATGTTGCACGGGACACGATTAATGCATTCGGTTCCTGTACATGCGACTGGTAACTCGAAATGACAATTAAAGACAAAAGTGAGAGACATTTACCATGATAAATTCTGTAATAAGCATGTTACATTGCGCTACATCATAGCATTATAGAAAAATCGCTGAATTTGATGATTACATATAACATCTGTTTCTCGAGCGTTATTATTCTTCTATCGAGCCAATTTGTAATCTTTCAAATTTTTTTCATTTTCATCGCGATTTCAATATATGTACTTCATGCAATGTACTTTACGCAAAAGTAACTTGCTTAAATTAAAACATTCAGATCTGATGTCATCTTTCTAACGCGTAGTTTTACTGCAATGTATGAATTCTATAATTTGCAGCACAATGACACAAAGTTGTTTTAATGGTTAATATTAATGTACTATTAATAATATTAATAAGTGACATAGGAGCTTGTTTCATAAGACTTCAGATAACGATAACGTCGTGTGCACATTTTCGCATATGTTACTTCCATTGAGATATGTAAGTTAGAACATAATGAATTTGAGATTAGAGTATCATCTGTGTAATTGAATCTTCAGAAATCAATTTGCTCCATTAGCTAGGTGTAAAATCGTCGGATTATTTTGATTTCTTTTCCTACATTTAAATATTTTTAAGCATTAAACGCGTTCGATCATAGAGCAACATATATATAAGCAATTTTTGCTTATATACTTTTTCTTTTACAATTGATAATTACGAATGTATTGTTCTCCTATAAATAAGTGGATGTACGTGCACTGTTGAACTTACGATATTGATAATTATTAATGGTGATTCTCATTCACTCGTAGTGTATGCGATGCCATATCTGTATTATGAAATCATGAGCGCACATTTATTTGAATACAATATTATTAATTTATATTTCTCTGTTGCTATATTAGCATAACTCGTGTATATGAGACAAGAAACGTCCAGTGCCAAAGTCAGAATATCTCTTTTTTTTACAACAAATCTGACAATAATCTGGTATAAATGATTTGTTTAATGCATTTAGATGTCTCTTTGTCAAGAATAAATGTAAAACTGATATAAAACCTTCTAGTTTGTAATAAACAAGTATTATTCTAACAAAGCTGTGTTCTTTCGCCATTACCGATAAGTCAAATT